CTCCTATACATATGAGAGCTGGACAATGAATAAGGAAGACCAAAGAAGAGTTGATGCCTTTGAGTTGCGGTGTTGGCGAAGAGTGCTGAAAGTACCATGGATTGCTAAAGGAACAAATCTGTCTTCAAATAAAGGCAGGTAGCATGCTCCTTGGAAGAGAAAATGGCTAGACTTTGTCTCACCCACTTTGGTCATGTTGTCAGAAGGGATCATTCTCTGGAGAAGGATGTCATGCTTGGTAAAGTGGAGCATCAGCAAAAGAGGGAAAGCCCTCAACAAGATGGATTGACATGGTGGCTGCAATGATGGGCTCAAATATAGTAGGGATTGTGAAGCTGGCACAGGACTGGGCAGTGTTTTGTTCCATTGTACATAAGATTGCTGTGAGTCAAAGATGACTCAATAGCACATAACAACAACATAATAAATGGTGCTGGAAAAACTGAATATCTACCTGTATGAAGATGAAACAGGGCTCATACATCATGCCATGCACAAAACCTAACTCAAAATTGATCAAAGACCTAAGTGATAAATCTATCCCACAAAATTCCTAGAAGAAAATTATGGGTCACTATGAGTTGGGTCCAACTCGATGGCACATAACAACAACAACAATCTTTTGTAAAAATAGGATAGCAAACATTACAATAAATGCACAAGTAGAAGATGAAATAGATTAGTAGAACTTGTTAAAATTTAAAAATTTATGCTCATCAGATGACTTTATTAAAAGAATTGAGAGATGATGTACAGACTGTGAAAAATCTTCAGAAATGATTTATAAGTCTAATCTCTAAAACTGATTAAAAATAAAAATAAGAAACCCTGAAACAACTCAAAAACAAGGAGGCAAAAAGCCCAATGACAAAATGGACAAAGGAGATGATGAACAGAACTTTTACCAAAGAGGAAATCCCAGCAGCCAACAAACATGAGAAGATATACATAATCATTAGCCATTAGAAAGATGCAAAATCAGAACTATAGTGAAATATATCATCTTATCCCTAGTAAAATGGCACTGATTAAAAAAAAAAAAGTGGAAATTAAACAAAGAAAGAAGAAAAAATGGAATAAAATAGAAACCAGTATGCAGTTGAGTAATATTGAACAATGGAAAAAGACAGATTGTAGGTAATTTAACAAGAGTATCTAGTACACAATCCTTTTCACATGAGAAAAAATATTAAAAGCAGATTTATATATAATGACATTTTGTCAGCGTAGTTCTTTGGTGGGAAGAGTAATGACTGAAACGAGGCAAATGCTGAAGCACTGATGATATTCTGTATCTTGATCTGTGTGTTGGTTACACAGATATATTCACTTAGTAAACATTCATGAAGCTGTAGAGTTAAGATTTGTGTACTGTATCTTATAGCTGAAGAACAGTTTGTTATAAAAATAAAATACAAAAAAGTTGATAATGATCAAAATGTTGAAACTCCCAGTAGATTACCCAAATTTCCATGCATGTCAGGGCTGGAGGACAAAGGCGAAGGAAGCAGTGCTGGTGGTGGTAGAATAAAAGCAATGAGAGCAAGAACACAGTAAGTAACTACATAGAACAGAAGCAAGACTGAAAAATGAAGCTCAAAAATTCCTTGAATCAAATGAGAATGAAAACACAACATACCAAAATCTTTGGGACACAGCAAAAGCAGTGATCAGAGGCCAATTTATACCAATAAATGCACACATCAAAAAAGAAGAAAGAGCCAAAATCAACACTTTAAACCAACATCTCCAGCAATTAGAAAAAGAACGGTGAGAAAAGCCTACCATCACCAGAAGAAAGGAAATAATAAAGATTTGAGCAGAAATCAATGAAAGGGAAAAATAGAAAGACAAGAGAAAAAATCAACAAGACTAGAAGTTGGTTTTTTTAAAAGATTAAAAAAAATGACAAACCACTGGCAAATTTAACAAAGGAAAAAAGGGAGAGAATATAAATAACGTGAATAAGAAACAAAATGGGTGACATCACAATAGAACCAACTGAAATAAAAAGGATAATATCAGGATACTGTGAAGAACTGTACTTCAACAAATTTGAAAATCTGGAAGAAATGGACAGATTTCTAGAAGCACACTGCTCACCTAAACTGAAATGGAAGCAAGACTGGTCAATCTACTTCCATAAAGATTTACCACCTCAGAAATCCAATGGGGGTTGCTATGAGTCAGAATCAACTTGATGGCAGTATAAGCATATAGTAATGGGCATAATATTTGGAAGAGAGGGAGGAAGAAAATAAAACCACCCTCCAATCTTCTGCAGTATAGAGTAATTACCTGGTTCATATAGAAGAAAATGGCTCAGGGGATTAAATTCCTTGCCTAAAATTACAGATATCTGGATAAGAGAGTTGGAACTGAGACTAAGGCCAGACTCTTCGTTTCTTGTTCTTCTTTTTAATAATTCTTTAGTGTTTCTGGTGAAGGTTTGCACTGCATTTTCATTTCACATTCAACAATTTCTATACATACTGTTTGGTGACATTGTTTATATTCTTCACAATACATGAGCATTCTCAATACTTCCATTCTGGTTGTCAGTTTTCATTAATCTAGTTTCCCTGCCCCCTTAACATTCTGACCTTTGTTTTAAAGTAATTGTTGATCATTTGGTCTCCTATAAGTCATTTTCTAAAGGAGCACAGCACTCATGGGTGATGTTTATTTTGTGATCCAATCTCTTATTTAGCTAAAATACTGGGAGGCTTATTTCTGTTCAAGATTTAAAGACTGTCTCAGGGCAGTACTCTTGGGGACTCTACCAGTCTCAAGCATTAGGTCTGTTTCATTTAGGAGCTTGAAGTTTTATTCCACATTTTTTTCTCCCATTCTATCAGGGTCCATCTATCATGGCCCTGATCATGAGGTCAGACTCTCAAGCCATACTTTTTCATTATATTCATATATAACCAACACAAACAAATATCTTATTTTGAAGGAAAGAACTTCCTGGGCTAAAGGAGGACAGATATCCAAACTTTGGCTTTTTTCTTTTTCTTTCTTTCCTTTTTTTTTTTTTAATAATATAACTTTACCTGCAGAAATCAAGTAGCAGAATAGAAAAATACTTAGAGGCTGTAATATTGGCTGATAACTGGAGACCAGATGTTCATGATGATTCTGATATTTTATACTGAAAGCTTTTGGTAGATATTACTACTCTGTGATCAAGTTATGTGTCAGTTATTCTTGGTGTCAATAAGGCCTTTGCAACTTAGAGACAAGAACTTGAAAATAATGGACCATGAAAAAAAAGAAAATATATAAAGGGAGTCTGCTAAAGATATAAAGGGAATCGGGAGACTAATTTTCTTTGTCCCCAAATTTCCCATAATGCCATGTACTTCCTTCATAACTCATTTCATTTTCATTCTTTAGAATCTGGAAATGCTAGACTTGGAATTAAAATGTCATTTTTCTTATAACATTTTCATAAATATGTTTGCTGAAGGTAAATACATGTTTATTATATTTGGATTTGCATATCAGATTAGCTTTACTTCTTTTCCTCTTTTTTTTGGCAAAAGGATTGACCTTGTGATCCCTGAATCCTGAAAATGTTTTCCTTTTCCAATTGCTCTAAGCCTTTGAAGTTTTCCACATTCCCTGTGAGGCCTTTTTGGGATGTGTCCCACTTTAAGCCTGAGCTTTTCTACCACTTTCCTGACTTATTCCCTGCCCTAATTTTGATGCAAGAACACTTCTTATCTGAATCATGTAAGCACAGAATTTGGGAAAGAGAAAAAAGGCTGAAAGACACCATAGTCAATAAAATCCTTGGTTATGCAAAACACACACAAACTCATTCTTTATTTAATCACTCTCAGGAAACGCAATATTTTGCAATTTCAACTCAAAGTTTTTTTTTAAAAACAAACAAACAAACAAATAAAAAAAAAATCATCTCAATTCTAGGCTCTTACACAGTCTCTTAATCTCCTACCCCTGCCACCTACCCACTATGGCTGGATGGTAGAAAATGTCTATAGCTGTTCATCAGTACAACAGAGACAGGTGCATGGCTGGGTATCATTATATTTCCTTCCATTGTATTCCCCTTGGGAACCCTACTGGCACAGTGGTTAAGCACAAAGCTGCTGACCAACAGCTTGGCGATTAGAACACACCAGCAGCTCCATAGGACAAAGAGGTGACAGTGTGCTTCCATAAAGATGTGTAGCCTTTGAAACCCTGTGGGGTAGTTCTGCTCGGTCCTATATGGTCACTATCATTCAGAATTGACTCAATGGCAGTGGGTTTGGTTTTGCATTTTTGATGTACCCTTTGGTGTGTTCCCACCCCTAGTCCCTTAAATACAAAGTACTTTGCATTCCTAGCCACAAAATTCTGGGTATCTAGTTTCATCACAGCTGGATCCTCCCATAAAAGAGTTTTTCAACCTTGAACCCTATGGAGTGTGAGCCAGGATCATACTTTCTGTCCTGTGCATTGTATGATGTTTAAAACATCTCTGGCTTCTACCCACTAGATGCCTATACTACACCACCCCCTTACCTCCACTCCAGTTGTGACTACTGAAAATGTCTCCAGATATATGCTCTAGGAGGGCAAAACCAACACTGTTAAGAACCGTCCTGCAGAATAATAACGTACTATAGAAACACAAAGGAGCTCTGGTAGCATAGTGGCTAAAGCACTTGACTGCTAACCAGAAGGCTGGCAGTTCAAACCCACCAGCCACTCCTTGGAAGGAAGGTTGGGCAATCCTACTTCCGTAGTGATACTGCCTTGGAAACCCAAGGAGGGGTCGCTATGAGTCGGGGGCGACTCGACGGCACATTACAACAACAACAACATAGAAACACAAAGAAAGAAGGCAGACTGCATTTCCGACAAGCATATTTTAATGTTTCCAGGAGGATCTTTACATCTAGGTGATTTGGACACTTTTCCTGTCTGAGATGTGGGAACAGCAGCACCATGTCCATCATTTCAACCCTGATACCTTGTTATGGATGTCACTCTACTTTCCTCATCTTTTGGAAGTCAGCCTGTAATAATCTCAGTTTCTTTTGAATCTCAGTCAGAACACCAATTTTCTGATCCAAAATGACCAATAACTGGGCAATAAAAAAATCAGTACCATAGTTTACCTCATCAGCTGCCTCTTGCATGTTCTTGGGCCATTGGCTGGATTCCTTCCATGAAGTCATAGCATTCTCCACTGATGGAGTGGATAATGCTTCAATTTCTCCTTCAGTTTCTTCCTCCTTATCACTCTGTATACAAGGCATTTTAATAAATTTGTCCCTCTGAAGGGATATTTCTGAATTTTCATTGTGCTTTTGCAACATCGGTGCATGTCCTACAGAATAGAGGCTACGATGGTGGGGCCTGTCATCGAGAGCTAATGCTTTTACTCTGTTTGCATATCTTAAAGTGTTGAGGGTGTTTTCGCAAGAGGCCAACCCTGGAGAGATAGTAGCAATCATGCAGGTGGTTGAGTTCTGGCTTATAAAGGAATCCCGCAGTACCTGTGTGAGTTTGCTGGCTCTAAATGGAGTATGAGGCTTATTCTGACCTAATGCCCGGATGCATTCCTTGAGGGCTAGAAGACTTTTGTTAATCTCCGCCCCTTCCAGCTGCCTCTTTCGGTTGAGCTTAGCATTATCTGCTCCCCTTTCATTCCCAGCTAAGTCAACGAGGGAAAACTTTCCGTGCAGTTCCCCCTGTGACTTCAAGATGATCTGGAACACCGCATGACTCCTGGAAGAGTGGGCATTGACAGATGTCTGTCCAGAAGTCCGGCAGCTGTTCCCTAGTTCCACAAGGTTTAGAATGTCCTCTACACAGCACACCTCCTGTTCCCGCAGTCCAACCACGTGCATTTGCTGATTGCCATCTTCAAGGACTTTCAGTTGCTTCTTCCAGCTCAGTAAGTCATACACCTTGCCCCCATAAATCTCAAAAAATGTCCCATAGACTTTGAGATCCAGCTTCTCATAAGCAGGATTTTTGAGCATGAGGAAGACATCCTGCGCTGCCAGGGCATAGATACCTTCAGAGCAATCTTGGTCGCCGCCTGAGAAGGCCCCACCCATGGTGTGCGTTTTCCCGCTGCCCGTCTGGCCATAGGCAAAGCAAGTAGCCATGCCCTTGTGGAACATGGACTCCACTAGCGGCTGAGCCGTGAACTGGTACACTAACTCGTTGGAGGCGGTGTCATCAAAAGCATAGTCAAAGCAAAATGTCTGGTTCTCCAGGTAGCGGGTGAGGTCCACCTTTTGCTTAGACTCGTGTACCATGACCACATTGTGCGAAGGAATGGTGATGATATCCAGGTCTTTCATGATGGTCTCTTGCTGGTTGAGAGGCCGTTTCCTCACGCAGACACAGATCCGGTGGTCCTGCAAGGGCTCCAGGCCAGACATCTTGCTGCTGTCCAGGTGCCGGCGGTACTCCTTGATCATGCGCATGATCTGGGAGTTGGGGTTTCCTGTGTTGATATCACGGGCACGCTGGGCTCGGATCTCTAGCTGCTGCAGCCTGCGTTCCTCCCGCTGCTTGTGCAGTTTCTCGATTTCCCGCACGCAGGGTGATTTTTTCCGTTTCATTAGGCAAGGGTTACTGGGGACCCTCACAGCGACGCTGTCGCCTGAAGGCGTTTCATTTTTCTGGGGGATCATTGCCATCCACTGAGTGGCAATACGCTGGTCACCAATGGCAGAAGGCGGCACTAGAGACAAGGGTGACAATGGCCTGGACAGCATGGGGTGTTCGGCTGAGACCAGTGCTGGATTCAGCAGGAATATGGTCTCTAGATCAATCTTCTTGCCTTTTTTGACTTTCTCGACCCACTCTACTGTGACCCAAGCGTTTTCTCTGTTGATCTCTGTGACCACAGCGAGATGGATCCTCCCATCACTCCTCTTGATTGCCACACAGATGCCCACTTGGACATCTCTGAAGTGTGGCTTTAAGGGTTTCAGGGGCGAGAGGCACGGGGAGAGCTGGAGGCAGAACTGGCTGGCCATAACGAGTGATGGAGGTATCAGGGCTCTGGGATGGCTTTAGCACCGCCAGGGGCCCTTAGTGTTGGAGCTGCAGGACCTGAGCCCAAGCCAGCTTGATGCTCTGGGAGCACTAAGTTTGCTCACGGTTTCGTCCTGTCTTTGTGAGCGCTGGGACCAGGCTGTTGCCATGTGCGTCACAAAAGGGTGCGAAGAAAGCGCAGCACAGCCCAGGGTCTCTCTCTAGGTGAAGCGTAAGGGGAGAAATCACGTTCGTGGCATTGAGGGCAAGATGGCGGAAGGGGCAAAGGCAGCTGGAATCTAGAGTTTGCTCTCTGCCACTTAAGGGCGAAAGGAATGGGGGAGGAGATGGGCTACTCTCAGGACCCTGGTGAGAAGGTGCGTGGAACAGAAAAGTCATGGGCATTTGGGACTGGGACTTTATATCTTCCTGGAAGATTTTCAAGCCTAAGCTTTGGAAACATTCTCCTTTGCAGTCCTGACCTGCAGTCTCAAAGCTTGCATGGTTTTGAGAAAACTGGTAGCTCTGGTGGTGTAGTGCCTAAGGCATTGGACTGATAACCAGAAGGCTGTGGGTTCAAAACCATCAGCCACTCCTCGGAACCGCCTGGGAAACCCAAGGAGGGGTTGCTGTGAGTTGCATCCCACTCCACAGCATTGAGTTTGGTTTGAAGTTTGGTAAAAACTACCTTAAACTTCAACCCTCTGGTGATCAGTGAGAACTAATGAAAAGAGCTGTTTGCAAAATTACAGGCTTCTAAGTCCACTGTTGTTGTTGTTGTTATGTGCCGTCGAGTCAGCCTGACTCATAGCGACCCCTCCTTGGGTTTCCGAGGCAGTATCACTACAGAAGTAGGATTGCCCAACCTTCCTTCCGAGGAGTGGCCACTAGGACCTACAATTAGCCCCCTGAAACCTGCCTTCTTTCCTTCTTCCCCACCCCCTACAAAAGGTGTTTAACTTGAACAGTCACAACTAAGTTACTCGAGTTTAATGGGATTTCTCATTACAAAATCAAAATGAGTTGTATGTAGCAGGTCGTTGTGGTAATTTGCTAATATGGAACTTCCTTCGGTGCAGCAGCTGGGTTTGCAAACACAAGATGTTTATCGCATTCCAAGCGGCTCTCTGACAGCTACAAAGTTTTGTTGCGCTGCAGTTACCACCATTTTTGAGATTAGTTCAGTAATTACTGTTTCAAACTCCTTTAGTCATTATACTTCTGGCCTCATTATCCATAATTTGGAGAGAGAGGAGAGACATTTGGTGGAAAGAGGTAATTCATCTTACACCCTTCCCTACCCTAAAACGTACATGTGTCCTTCAGAAGTTATTAAGGGGACAAAAAAGGTAGCTAGGACCATAAGATACAAAGTAATATTTGGGAAATATTGCAGCATTTTGTTGTAGGATGATTTGCTTGCTTGTGGGGGTGGGTGGGGGGGGTGGGTTTGGAAATAGATATCTACTGCCAGATGGACCAAGGTGAGGGTTAGGGTGACATCTTACATTCAACTCCCCTACCCCCTCAACACCATATTGTCTTTGGGGATGTGAATTGGATCAAAATTACACTGTAGCATGAAGCAACACAACTTCCTTACATTCCTCCCTAGCACCAAGGGACATTATAGAAATAAATTTTTATAATAAATTGACTTTTAAGATGGAAAGTGCCTCTCTACAGTAAATTTACTAAAACAGAATTTGAAAAGAAGATTGGGAGGGGATACTGGAATAACTGCAGTGTTCCTTCGTTTCATGGAGTCTGAAGCTGGCAAGGGAAAGGGAGAAAAGGCTTGAAACAATTGTCTTTTTATGGCTACTAAAACAACTATTTGCCCTGATGATCAATATTTAAAGTTGTACTGTAAATCTTTTTATTTTTCCTGAACTCAAGGACAATCATTGTTACCTATATTTGCCATTAAGTTGAAATACACATGTCTGTGTGTGTATCTTTAGATTTTTGAAACAGGCTTTTTTTTTTTTTTTCTTTAACCATTACCTTACCTTTGAAAAAGATGCATCTCTAAAAATTATACAAACTCGAGTGCTTTCAGGTTGACCATATTTTTCCATTTAAGCCAACAATTTGTATAAATAGAAAATGAATTATTGAGTCCATGGTTGTTGTTGTTGTTGTTGTTATGTGCTGTTGAGTCAGACCTGACTCATAGCGACCCCTCCTTGGGTTTCTGAGACAGTATCACTATGAAAGTAGATTGCCCCATGTTCCTTCCAAGAAGTGGCTGGTGGGTTTGAACCCCAGCCTTCTGGTTAGCAGTTAAGTGCCTCAGGCACTACACTACCAGAGCTCCTTGAGTCCTTGGTAGTAGTGTAAAAAGTCAAACACCAATGTTCTTTTTGACTCCCTCTTCCTCTGTCCACCAGCATAGCTATCACAGTCTTTACCCATTTCAGGTTTTCTTTTTTTTTTTGTAACCTCAATTCTCTTCTCTCTTATATGGTTTTCCTAAGATATCTCATCTGCAGTACATCTATCTATCTACCTTTATGAGGAGTTCTGGTGGTGCAGTGGTTAAGGCATTTGGCTGCTAATCCAAAAGTTGGCAACTCAAACCTACCAGTTGTTCCATGGGAGAAAGATGAGACAATCTGCTTCCTTAAATATTTTCAGTCTTGGAAGCACTATGGGGCACTTCTACTCTGTCCTATAGCATTATTATGAGTCAGAGTCAACTCGATGACAATGGCTTTGGTGGTTTGGGTATGTACCTATATAACTATTTATAGCCTTTCACTCTACTTATCCAGTCTGTATGCTGAGCAAATAGTCTGAGAAACTGAACTACATGAAGAAGAACATGGCATCAGGATTAGAGGAAGACTAACAACCTGCATTGTGCACATGACACAACTTTGCTTGCTGAAGGCAAAGAGGACTTTAAGCACTTACTGATGAAAACCAAAGACTCCAGCCTTCAATATGGCTTATACCTCAACATAAAGGAAACAAAAATCTTCACAGGTGGGCCAGTAATCAATAACATGATAAATAGAGAAAAGACAGAAGTTGTCAAGGGTTTCATTTTGCTTAGATCCACAATTCACACCTATGAAAGCAGCAGTCAAGAAATCAAACAACGTATTGCATCGGGCAAATCTGCTGCAAAAAGACTTCTTAAAGGTGTTAAAAAGCAAATATGTCACTTTGAGGACTGAGGTATGCTTGAACCAAGCCATGGTATTTTCAGTTGCCTCATATGATGTGAAAACTGGACAATGTAAAAGGAAGACTGAAGAAGAATTGATGTATTTCAATTATAGTGTTGGTGAAGAACAAACAAATCTGTCTTGAAGGAAGTATACCCACTACCATCCAGTCGATTCCAATGCATAGAAACCTTATAGGACAGAGTAGTACTGCCCTACAGGGTTTCCAAAAGTGAATCTTTGTTTCAGCAGACTGCCTCATCTTTCTCCTTCTGAGTGCTTAGTGGGTTTGAACTGCTGACCTTTTGGTTGGCAGCCCAATGCTTTAACTGCACTGCCATCAGAGTTCCTCTAACTTGTATTATATCAAAGCAATTGCATTTCTTCAAACACATGAAGATATATAACTTTTCAGTGGTCCTTATCATTAAGATGCATCAGAATCACCTACAGAGCTTACTGAAGTTTAGGTTTCTTGGTTCTACACCAGAGTTTCTGACTCATTAGGATATGATCCATTAGGGATTCATATTTCTAAAAAAAAAAAAATAAAAGCATTTGCACTCCTCACAAGTTCTTAAAAAGGTAATGCCGATGCACTGGTACTAGGATCACATTTTGAGAATGACAGTTGTAGTTCCTCTGTCTAGAATAGACTTTCTCTTCCTCCTCATTTTCCTGATCTCTCTTAGTCATCCTTTAACATTCATCTCAAACTATGGCCCCCTCCCAAAGGGTTTTCTGATCCTGTTGATAATAGCCAGGGAAAGCAGCATTATGCTGAGTTATCTCTCCAAAAGAATAACCATATATTATGAGTGGATGTGGCCAGTCAGCAGAACCAAAAAGCCTCATTCTTAGTAGTAACTATTAAACAACAAGGGGGAAAAAAAAGTAGCCAAAATAAAAGCTTATAAATTTAAGTAAAAGTAATCTGTAGAGACTTGCTTGATGCTTCAACAGTTTTGATAATCTGGAACTTCATTTGGGGCAAGATCTTTTTTATCTCTCTTGAGGTAAAATTCAGAGTTCATTTTATGGAACTTATTCCCAAAGACCTGGTCTTTAAGGCAAACATTGTGACTCTTTAGTAGTGAGATAATGGGAGAAGCTTAGATAAAAGTTAAGGTATCATCATTGGCCATGGCCAGGGGAGAGGTTGAATGGAATCAACGTATTGTAGATGAGCAAGGTCTTCATATTAGAGCCTGAATCCCAGCTATATCTTTTGACTGATGATAACCAAGCAATAAATATATGCAAATTGCTTACCATGTACCAGTTCCTCTGATGGGGGAATCCTGCCTTAAAGGAGTTTACCTTTTACACATTTTGTTTACATGCCTACTAAGAAGACCATCAGGGAGCCCTAGAGGCACAATGTCTTAGCACATGACTGCTAACCAAAAGATTGGAGTTAGAACCCACCAGCAGTCCTGTGGGAGAAAAGATCTGATATCTCATCCCCCAAAGATCACAGTCTAGGGAATCCTATGGGACACTTCTACTTCCTCATATAGGGTCACTATGGGTTGGAATCCACTCAACAGCAAACAACATCAAAAAAGACTGTGCCTTGAGAAGCAACTGAATGATATCTCCTCTTCATTTCAGATCTTGTGTTTTTTTATTTTTTTTATTTAAAGTCTAAGGAGCATCAGGTGTAGACCCATAAAAGAGGGTCGTGTAGGTGGAAGTAAACACAGGAAATGAGCTTAGTAAATTTCATTTATTAATTACAGGCATATTCCCAGTTTGGGGCCTGTCAGAGTTACTTTACAGCAGAGAATGTGATTTCTAGTCTCATTTTAAACACACATCTCCCA